AATCTATGGCTAGAGACCTTGAATGACATGGCTCAAAATCGTTCGCAATGGCGCCAGTGCATTTATTCTTTGTGTTCTCTCAAATCCTAATCTTCTGAATTCTTCAACACCTCTAGTTTTGACTTTCTAAACTTTTCTCACTGAATCATACTTCTTGAATAATATCTTCTAATCCTAACCTCTCGGATTACTTCTAATACCTTTACTACCTCTTCTACTATTGGATTTGAAATGACAATTATATCTCTGTGCTGATGTGGTATGGTGACATGAACTGATGTACTTACGTACGAAGTTCTACGTTGCATCTGACTGACTGACTGACTGACATGAAAATGGGAAGTATACACCAATAAATCATCTTTCAAACAGAACACATTGAAATCATGATGTGAAATAGTGTGACAAAAACTAGTAGAAAGGATTTCAATGTGATCAATTTGGTCTCATGTGCTTTTATAGGGGTATAAGGGTGGTTGTCTACTTTCCGGTTGTTCACATCGTTGAAGGACTCTAGAGGTCACTGACAACTGGATTGAGTTATGGTGATAAGTGTAGACTACTTGGCTGGGGATCCGCGAGATGATAGTATCTGATGTTTAGAGACTTTGAATGACATGGCTCTAAATCGTTTGCAATGGTGCAGGTGCATCCACTCTCTTTGTATTTGCTGAAATTCTAATCTTCTGAATTCCTCATCACCTTTACCTTTCTCTTTCTAAAATTTCTACTACCCCTACTACTATGGGATTTGAAGTGACAGTTGGATCTCTGTGTGCTAGTGGTGGTATGGAAATGTGGACTGATGTACGTAAAGCACGAAGTTCTACGTCATAGCTGATAAGAATGACATACAAAAACAGCAGTAACAATTCTATCATACAAACAAAACAGACACCTTATCAACTATTTCTAATCTTATATATATAATCAAATTTTCACTTGCCACATTACTCTATGATTGTTATTACATTTTTAAAAAGAAAATATAAATTTCACCTCATTTTAATAGCTATACATTTTGTATCATACTGTTATCATTCTCTCTCTTCTCTATTTATACTACAACCCAACTATTCCTTAATGCTTAGTATTCTCGGACATCAATTCACTGGAGACGTTCTCTCCCGAAAATCAGAACACGGTTGAACAGATTATATTCCAAATAGCAAGATTAAATGGAAGATAGAAGGTTCAGAAGGAAAAAGACATTAGTTTATCTATAGTTTTCTTACATGAGAAGATTCTAGAATGTTCCCTCAGTATCGACTGGTGCTGATTGGATTACGAAAGAGCCAATCAGCATGCAACAACGCAATCATGATTTTAATCCAATGCCCATGTCCTACTTACATATACTTATGTTGTAATTGACTGACTGACTGACTAAACTGTTGTGGATTCATAACTTACATCTGAACGACTGTTAAACATTGCTTGATTTCATAAATCATCATAGTTTATGATGATAACCCAATATCAAATTAGTTAAACATTTAAAACTTACTTCGTTTTTATACATTCTGTTGATTTGATTTTTAATTAACTTGGATATATTTCCTATTATTGATTATTCATTTTAGCATTTGTTGTCTACAGTTTTTTAAGTTTATGCTATGAATATCTTGGTGGAGAAAGTTGCATTTTGTCGGAAATTCGTGGTCGTGAATTACCGTAAGTTAATTTTATATCTCATGGGTTATAGTTCTTCTCCACATTATGTGTCAATTATTTCTATTTAGTTAAATTAATTGAATTTCTTAGACACCCTCAAGGTACAACTACACTGACGACTAAGCTGTTTAGTTCATTTTAACTGATTAAGGAGTATTTCTCAATCTTTCTATATGCATGTGTTTGGTTTGTGTGTACTCATGTTTTTAGCGGTTTATTCCTTTCTTCATTGGAAGAAAGCTAAGAGCGGCTAGACCAAAACATACCACAAATCCATAAAGTCATTGACAAGTGGGGGTTGAGTCATGTTGGTAGGTGTAGACTTATCTGGTTGGGGTCCGCGAGATGATAGTAACCGATGCTTAGGGACTTGAATGATATGGCTCAAAGTTGTTTTCAATAACGCAGCTGCATCCATTCTATACCTTTTCTGAAATTCTAATCTTCTGAATGTCTCATCATCTCTAACTTTCTCTTTCTAAATTTTCTTCGAACTATAATCTTCTCCGATTAATGCTTATACTTGTACTCCCGACTGTAGCTGCTACCTAGACGTGGTGGTCGGGATTGCCTATCGTGATGAACCAACCGAGCTATATTGGCTGGAACTTATGTTCCTGCAGGTCCTACCATGCCAGGCTGGTCGATTGGAGAACGATGAGACTAAAAGCAGCTACCCAAGGTCTGAGGGCGAAGTCGTACTGCTAACTGACTGTAGAGGGGTGTGGCAGCAGTAAGGTGTTTCCCTCGGACAACCAGCATCTACAGCGATGCTGACTTCTCACAAGGAAGGAAGGGTTAGAAAAGGTCGACCCTAAAAATGTCACACCTCACTCTACCTCAGGGATTTCCGTCTCCGTCGGTAAGGGTGCCCACTAAGGGCTTTCAAGAGCGGAGCTAACACTCACAAAACCTTTCATAAAAAGGCCGTGCGTGACCGGCCTCAAGCAGTTGTCCCTTGGACTCTGCGGTCACGCTCCCAGGTCTCCAAGACCAACACTAATCTACCTTCCTTTTCAGGTTCCTCAAGAAACAACCTTCCACGGTGTGTGCAGCCGGAAAGTGACAACCGCCCTCATACCCGTAACAACACACGAGACCGAATTGGTCGGAATGAAATCCTTCCTACACTTGTACTATCTATACTACCTTTGGTAATTGAATTGACAATTGTGTCTTTGTGCTAATGCTTGTATGTCAACTTGAACTGATGTACTCATATATATATAAATTTATATGAGAATTTTTAATCCCAAATCCTTAGTAAAGTCAACATTTTATCTGTGATGAATGCTTTTTTTTTCTACCCATTTTTTTTTGTTCGTTGTGGGATAGACGTTCATGGGCATATTGCACTTGTTGCATTTATGGTCAAACGTATACAATTGAATTTCTACGATTTTGTAAACAAGTATGTTTTCGTTTTTTTTTTAAAAAAAAAGATTAATTTCATTTTCGTGATTTAATTGTCACTTCATATGTGTTGTTTGTTTCTGTTTTTGGACGCGAGTGTACTGCACAGCAGTTCGCTCTGTCCTACTATACGGATGCGAAACATGGCCGTTAAGAGTAGAGGACATTATTCGTAAATAACTAGTCTTCGATCATAGGTGTATCCGAAGCATTCCTCGTGTATCCTGGGACGACTGAGTAAGCAATGCTATCGTTAGGTAACGAGATCTAGGTAAGGATGGAAGATAAATAGATGAAGTAGTTAAACTTCATCAGTTGAGGTGGTAAGAACATGTGATACGTATGCCTAACCACCGACTGTCGCGACGAGCTATGTTTTGCAGTGTAGGAGTAGGTTGGAAGTAAGCTAGGGGCGGCCAAACCAAAACATGGCACAAATTCATGAAGTCACTGACAAGTGGACTGAGTCATGTTGGTGGATGTAGGCTACCTGGTTGGGGTCCGCGAGAAGAAAGTCACCAATGGTTAGATACCTTGAATGACATGGCTCAGAATCGTTTGCAGTGGTGGACGTGCATCTACTCTTTGTGTTCTCTGAAATTCTAACCTTCTGAATTCCTCATAATCTCTACCTTTCTCCTTCTAAATTTATCTTACTGAGTTATGCCCTAATCTTATTCATTACTACTAATACTTCTATGATTGCTATCACTGTTGGATTTGAACTAACAGTTACGTCTCTGTGCTGATGTGGTATGACAACCTGAACTGATGTCCTTACATACGAAGTTCTGTGTTGTATCTGTCTGTCTGTTTTTGTTTGTGGAAAATGTAAGATAAGTTGGCTAAAGAGGAAAACAAGCTATGATAATGTTGATATGTTAGTTTATAGTGAAAACTGTTTTTCAACTTGAAATCATTTAATTAAGAGAAAAACAAAGTAGAATCCAGCTATCAATCATAATTGAATTATCGAAGATGGATTGCTCAAAGTTTATAGTAGTAGTGTGGTGCGTGCTACTTATAAGTAGTATATGACGTGAGTGTAAACGTAATGTCTGGCAGCAGAAGATGGGGAAAGACCAAGAAAGGAAGAGTTAGAACACAATGGGATTTGTATGAAACGCATCATGAATAGTGACAATGGATTGATGTTGTTAGCAACAGGAACAGTCCAGTTCGATATGATGGATTGATATTTTGCAAATTAACGATTTACGAAATGGTTTTCCTATTTTACTGAGTAACTCTGTAATTTTCGTTAAATACAATTCGGTTGCCCCACCTGTGTTCTCGTTCACTACAGTAGGAGTAGTAGTAGTCATTGACCAGCTAGCTATAAACCAAGTCGTCTGAAGTATGGTGTACACAAATTTGAAAGTAATCAACATTGTCACACATCGCAATAGGACAATTAGAGAAATTCAGTAAAATGTAGACTGAAGAAGAGTAAAAGCAATAATAATAACATTTCTATTAGTGAAAACAATAAACTAAAAACTGAAAAATATGGCTTTATAATAAATAACAAATGGAACCAATCCATGAAGATATTTGTATGTGACTGAAATTGATTGCATGCCAAGCCATTGAGTAAGCTTCTCAACTAATAATGATTATTGGTTAATCAAATGGGCTTCAATCAGAAAGTTTGTACCGGCTAGCAGAGCTTAATGTTTTTGATGAAATGTGATCAATGCTTTAGAATGATTTATAGTGTTAATGCTTTTAGGAACTAAGTTTCACAGTCATAATATAGAATAAACAAATCATAGTTGTACTGTGTAATTTAATCTTGAACAATTGGGCATCTTAAGTTGTCAATCAGTTAAAAATATTGTAGCTGCTTTTATTCTTTATCACGAGTGTATTTCTACTAGTTCTTCTGAAAAAAATATTTCCAGCCTTCTCTATAAGTGACTTAAGTGAACACAAACTGTGGGAACTCTTTTCCCACTTCCAGGGAATTCTTCATCCACTGATCTCACAAGACTAATGGGTTGTCAGAAAGAAGTAATTTGGTCAGCGTGATTCAACACCTCAATTTTCAATGATGAAGGAGGCTATACGTATCCATCAAGCTCAAACTGAAGCAATGGAAGTGTTGTTTGAACCCACTGCTTACTACTGGCTAAAAGCTTATTAGTTTGATCACTGAATGACTTCTCGAATTTTGAAGCTAAGGTGAAACAATCTTCCACTGGTGATTTCTCGTTTCTAATAGCTCTCAGTTAACTTGAAAACTACCTGTTTTAGAGGTCATTCTTCTATGTAGAGTTATGCAAATCGAGAGCATTGTGTTCTGTAATTTAGGATTTTTAATGAAATCATTTTATACCATAGATTTTATGAATTTAGAAAACTGACATAAGACTTAGCAATTTAGGAACTCTCCTCTGTTACAAATGCGCGTGATCACGCCAGATCGATATGCTTGAACTATTACGAGTTCACATTAGTCGTTGAACGAGATCCACGATCCGGCGACACAACATCTACTCTAATCCGATTGTTCACAAACCCCATTGAGTAGATGAAGAAGACTTGATATGAAGTAGAACGTGTATTCTACAAGCATCCGGAAAGTACGAGGTCTAAAGTCCAGAAAAACGCTAAGGATCTGAGTCATAAAAACGTTAAGGATAATGCATGTGTATACAGTTACGTTGGAATAGGAAACAACATTTCAAATATATGGCATTGATAGTTAGGACGACCAATAGGAATCGAGTATTAGAAATTCTCTTAGGATATTGAATGAATATCCTAACATCCTCAGCTTTATAATTTTGGTTACATTTCGCACATGAAAACCATTGAAATTCTCTTTTGGCAGTTGTAAATACATCGTAGCGTATTCTGAAAGGAAAAAAAAACTATAACTTCATTTGTCATCATGTATCATAAATAATTTCATTGAATAAATTCCAAATTACTCACTGATGTTATACAACAGATTATACTTCCTTTTTTATTTGTTACATATAATAGACTTTTTGGGATTAGAATTACAATGAGAGACAGCAGACGACAGACAGATACAAAACGCAGAAACTTCGTACGTATGTACATCAGTTTAGGTTGCTACATCACACCACGTTAGCATAGAGACGCAAATGTCAGTTCAAAATCAATAGTGGTAGCGATAGTAGAAGTATTATCAGTAATGGAGAAGATTAGAGAGCGAAGATATGATTCGAGAAGTATACTTCAGTAAGATAAATTTAGAAGGAGAAAGATAGAGATGATGAGAAAGTCAAAAGGTTAGGATTTAAGAGAACACAAAGACTGGATACACTGGGCGTCATTACAAACGATTTGGATCCATGTTGTTCAAGTTCTCTAACCATTGGTGACTTTCGTCTCGCCGACGCCAACCAAGGTAAGTCGATTATCTACCAACATAACTCAATCCATGTGTCAGTGACAATGACGATGAGCGTGTGTGTGTGTGATTTTTCTTTACGTTTTTGAATTATTATTTATTTTTTCAAAATTTTATTCATTTCCATTTACTTTCATAGGCAACTTTACAATTTTGTGTAATTAAACCATTAACATCAATTGTGACTATTATTCTTCAAGCGATTGGCGTATATAAACATGGCATATTCAGGTAATTTATATTCAATAAAATAACTGTGATGATTATATACTTTACATAAAGGCTATTGTAAAATGTACATTAAGAGCAGTTGATAGATATCGCTTTGTCATTGTAACAGTTATTGTCATTGGTTAGGTGGTGCTTCAAAATGTGGAACTTTTAATTCAATTTCCTCAATTACATGTGTTTTCGCACATTGAAATCATCAATCAATCGTTGTTAGACCATTATTAAGAACCTGGAAGTACTGAAAGACGGCCGTTTCATCTTGGTATGGGACTGATCAGTGACAGTGTGCATCCACGACTCTTGCGGCCTGCAGGGTTCGAACCCAGGACCTTCGATCTCGTGTGTTAACGCCCAAACTCCGGACCTCCGAGCGGTATCCGGCGGTGTCCAATGTCTAACTCTGATCAGTTTAGTGGTTTTGCGCTACCATCGCCCATTTGTCTTCAGTGGTTACTGTCTACTCTCTGAGCAGGGTTGGACTCTTCTGGTCACGTCCTTCGCACTTTTAGTTCAATTTCGTGTGGTGTTTTGAACATATGTCTTACATAGTTGTTTCATACTACTAAATAGTTAACTTTCATGAATTAACCAAACTTCCAATGCTAGATGTAAACAGTGATTGAGAGATTCTGAATTAGGCTTTTTTTTTGCCTGCAAAAATCTAAACGATAAAACAATGTTATTATTTCCTTGATTACATATTGATAACCAATAGTAAGTATTTGGTTTCAATGTCAAGTTTATGATACTTGTAAGTTTTTGTGAAGCTTTTAGAAAAGAGCTTCTATTCACTTCATTATTTACAGCTCACAAACTAGATTAGAAGTTGTTATTTGTCCAATGCTAATGCCTTGTAGATTTGATACACCAGTTTTCAGTGATGGCCATAAAAATTTCAAGTTGTTCGTAGAAAAGTGTCTCGCGTAATTTTATTTGTTACGCCTGCAACGTAAGCACGTCAACTCGATATACGATTACGAGTTTACCTTAGTCCCTAAACGAGAGCGAGGATCGAGAATCCGGCGACATGACATGCTCCTCAAATCCGATTATCCCAACACCCATTATTTAGTAAAAATAAGAAGACGTGATATGAAGCAGAACATGTATTCTACAAGCATCCAGAAAAATACGAGGTCGGAATCCAGAAGAGAATCAGGACCTCGAATCTAGGGATCCGGGACCGAGCCCTGGTCCTGGTCGTGGTCATAAAAATGTTACAGATAATGCGTATTATACATTTGGTCGAATAAGAAAACAACATCAAAGTCTGTGGCATCGACAGTTAAGACAACCAATAGGAAGTAACATTTTGAAATGACATTGACAATCCGGATGACCAATAAGCGACAACATTGAAGTATTTGACTTTGACAGTTAAAACGACCATAATTTCGGACTAATAGAAATCGACCAATAGGATTTGACCAATAATTAATTCTCTTAGTATATTGGATGAATATCCTAACAAAATTTTTGATTGTTTATGCTTTAAAATAGGTGAATGCATTGAAAATTTTTTATTTACAACTCTACGCATTACATTGTTATTACGATGAACTTCACTTATTATATATAAGCCATTTTAAATATGGCATCATACATACCTAGAATAATTGAAGTTGTTTTTAGTAACAATTAATACTACTACTGTGGAGGACATCAACATCTATATATTTACATGTGTCCACTAGTGTGACGAGCTTGGTGAGGAATCTTCTCTGAGTTCTAGTAGGAAGTCGTGACCTGTGAAGTTCAAACCTGTTCGGATATATACAGGGCATGAGGTTGCGCAACTTCGTGAATTTGATCAAGTTAGACATTAACATCGTTAGATACCGGCTCAGTGGTCTAACGATTAGGACGTTCGCGCACAATACCGAGGGTCCCGGGTTCGAACCCTACGGGGTGCAAGAGTCGTGGATGCGCACTGTTGATGAGTAGTCCCATACCAGAACGAAACGGCCGTCTTTCAGTGCTTTCAGGTTTCTAATGGTCGATTCATAGTTTACAAATTAAACAATCTAGGTATTTTAAGCGAATATTACAGAGTTGTTAAGCGTGACTATATGTACAAACCCTCTACACAGGTGTGAAATCATTATCATTTACAAACTAATCCTTATTTGATATACAGATTTCAGTGTTTTTCATTTTAGGACTCGTTCAGACTTCAGTTCACTTTATGTTACTACAAATCGCATTCTGTTCTCATTTTTTTTCCTCGATTTTTTGCTTGTCAGACGTTTGATTTCCGTTTGATATTATCATATACTACTTATGTGAATATAAGTAGCATACACCACACTACTACTACTGTTGTGTGTGCTACTTATACGAACGATATAAGTAGTATAAGAAGCAAATGGAGCAAAAGCAAGAAGGAAATTGAGTACCGACAGGAAGTAAAGGAAGCACCAACAGGAATGGAATGGATGGTGTACAAATAGAGTGTTCAATGTAATGTTTTCGTTTTGTTGGGTAATTCCTCTTCCAATGCCCGGTTCCTCCGCAAATATAGCATTTATTATTTCTTCCACCCTTTATTCGTAACGCTACCACCTCGCGTTGTAACTCTTCTATCTTCTTTGCGACATCATCCGCCTGTCTCTCACATGCCACCGAGGCGACTTTTGAGTTCATCAGCTGTCTCGTTACTTTAGCCAGCTCAGTGACGTCCATTGGTTTTGCGGCGTTCACCAGTCTCAACTGTCGGGCAACCTCTGCAGGCAGACTTTCAATGAATTGCGACGCTAGCATCTGTGCTTGCGACTCCTCATCAAAATTCGGCAGACCCCGGCGCAGCAATCTTGTCAACTCCACAGCCAGTACGAGTGGGTCGCCATCCACCGTCAGTCTCGCCTCTCGGAACTTCTGCGGCGCGTCCTGCCCATCCACCGGGCTGTCGAACTCCACCAACAGGCTTCCCGTCACCACCTCCCAGTCAGCGTCCTCCACACCATCGTACACCGCTCTCGCCCTGCCTCTTAGTATATTCCCCAACACCACCGCCTTCGTCTTCTGCTCCTTGACTCCTACCAGCTCCGCCACGGCTTCGAACTCCTTCAAGAAGCTCCTTAAGTTTCCGTCTTCAAACTCCCGAAGCCATGGGATCTTCATCCTCTGTAGAGGCAGCGACACCAATTGAGAAGTTTGAGGCAGGCAAATTTACACTCTTAGTCAATTAAAAATGAAAACATCACATTGAACACTACTCTATTTGCACACCATCTTTAAGTCGTGACTTCCAGCGCTCCAGCCTTCTTCCATTCCCTGTCGGTACTACTCCAGTTACTTCTTGCTTTTGCTCTATTTGCTTTCCATTTTCCTCTTCTGACCGTGAGACTTCTTCTTCTTTCACGTCCCTTCTTATACTACTACTTATATCGTTCGTATAAGTAGCACATACCACACTACTACTACTATTAATAATAATAATATTTGTTAATTGTTGTTGTTTTTTTTCTACTTATTTTAGCGCTACCAATGGTTATTTATATGTAACAGTAGTTTATAATGCATCAGCATTTGTAGCATTATATGCTTTAGTTCTATTCTATTTAGCTACTCGTAACATTCTACAACCATTTGATCCTGCTATCAAATTTGCTGTTGTTAAATCAGTGGTCTTCTTATGTTTTTGGCAAGGTTTGTTCAGCGATTGATTTTTTAAAATTTTTCAATTTCAATAAGATTATTGTGTTCATTTATTGTTTCTCGTTTAATTTACTAGCATGAAAGAATTGTGAAGATTGTTGAATTACTTTTTGAAATGATGATGAATCCTAGAAGCACTAAACAGCCGTTTCATCGTGGTATGGGACTCATCAGCAGTGTGAATTCATGACTCTCGGGACCATCAGACTTGTGCTCTGACGCCTAGCTTCTAGGCCACTGAGCCAGCTGTCATCTAACGGTCTTAATGTCTAACTTCGATTAATCCACGGTCTTACGCATCCTCATCCACTGTGTTTGGTGAGGAGTGCTCTACACTCGACAGGGTTGAGCTCCACTGGTCATGACTTCTCATTAAGACTTGGAGGAACTTCCTCACGGAGCTAGTCACTAGTGAGCACATGATAATTTGCATGAAAGTGTAAGAGTTCGCGCACAAGATCGAAGGTCCTTGATTCGAATCTTGCGAGGGGTGGGATTAGTAAATGCGCACTGCTGGTGAGTCCCATACTAGGACGACGTGGCCATAGATATTTCTAGGTTTCTGATGGTAGTCTAACATGGGTTGATTCATGATTTCAAAAAGTATCTCTATTAATTATCAAAGGTGAATTTGACTTATCGTTGTTATGCTATAAAGAAGGTTTTTCAGAGAAAATACGTCTATTTATAGTTTTTCCTATCAATAAAATTGTCCAATCCACATTTAGCTCTGTTGCATAATCATCCAATCATCTTGTGCCACATTGATATTCTAAAAGTTCTGTTGAGTCGTGATTGAATGAAGATTCCCCTGGCTAACATATGGATATCTCGCTTACAACACAGGTGAAGTACGTTAGCAAAACAAACTATCGAGCCTTCTGTACTCGTATTAAGATTTCGTCAGACAAAAGACCATTGAGAATAATGAGACCTTAGAGATAAGTGAAGTGGTTAACGCGCTCAAATACTTGACTCTCTATCACTAATTCTGGAGCCGACGCTAGCCAATGGTTTAGTAACATTTTGCATTGGAATGGTAAGAATCATATCTCGAATATACTTGTGTTTTTGCTTAAGGTGGTCAGAACACTATGCATTTCGTCAGCGTTTTCACCAAACAGAACTATATAATCGGTATTTTCTAAGTCAACAAGTATATCTCCTGGTAAAAGTTCAACCTCTGAGAAGTCAGATGACGAAATCGTTATCCATGACAAAGTTAAATAAAAGTAAGGAAGGCGGATAACTTTGGCGATCTCCATTTAAAGTTATCGATTTCGGTGACAGTTTATCATAAGCTCTAACTTGACTAGTAGTGTTATAATAGCGAGCCTGTTGCAAAGTTACTGTACATTTTCGGTACACCTTTCCATGACGGACACTGTCACGGAATCTCATTATCAACCGAGTCAAAAGTCACCTTAAGGTTAAGGAATACAACTATTGTCAGATAACGAAATGTGTGTTTCTGTTTTAGAACCTGCCAAAGTGTGAATATTTGGTCTATACATTAACTGCCAGGCTGGTTTTCTTGAGTTTGTTCTTCAAGTATTCTAGTTAGCCGCTGAAGTATTATTGAAGATACTATTTTAGACACTAATTTAGTTAAACTTGTTCCTCTGTGATTGTCTCAAAAAATGATCGGACCATTGAAAACTCATCTATCAAGATTGTATGGATTGCTGGACGTTCATAAACCTAGCATTTCATTGAGACTAATTTTACATATCCATAACTCTTCACATCACATTCACAGTTAAATGGTTGACAATCATATTGAAACCACTTGACAAGAAGCTTGTAAAACATTGTGTTAGGGGGAGGCATCCCTATATGTTGAGAGTATCAAAATACAACTACTATTAGAACAAACGATGACATTATTCTTCACAAATGTTCCATTTATGGAAATTACAATCCCAATTGATGGTGTCTCAAAAATGTTACTATTGTAATGCTATTAGCGAATCTTATGAAGAGTATAGTCGGGCATCAAGTTTACATCTGCAGAATAAAGTAAAGACGGAAGAGCGTTTTTGGATATTCTATTAATAAAAAGAGCTAAACAGGGAAAGTACTTAGGTCGGGCTATAAACTCACTTTCTTATCTTTCTACCTACAATTCAGAGGTAGTGCAATGCCAGTGAAATATAGCAATCCGTAGTTTACATAGAACAATCAACTCTGGGAACCTACGGTTAGTGTTATCTACTTACTCAAAGATGATACAAGCTAAAAGTTGAATAACCTAGAATGGTCATCTCGTTTTATAATGATCGTTTCGACTGTTATGTTGATCGAAGTTTTTAGAATAAATTTTCGAACTTGTGAACACCTCCCAGTGTGGCTGAACAAAGGTGTTAAGACAGTAAGCAGCTAAATATTATTAGCCCATTTAGCGAAAACTGATCATTGTGCTAGCGTAAGTCAATTAGTTTCAATAATATTTCTGGTTAGTAACTTGCTGCCAATCAGTTTGACTCAAAGTTCCTTAAATAGTCGAAGTAATTAATATCCGTCAGGATTAAAATAAAACTGGGATTTCTGATTGAATTTACGATATAGTCTTCCATGAAAACATTAGATCAAACTCATCATTGCATTGTTAAATCGCTAATCCTACATGGAATGAAATTTTTTCTACTGATCAATGATTTCATGGTTATATTTTTTAACGTACAAACTTATACAAGTTAACATGGCATATTAGTCATCTGAAAAATTACACCATTTTATTTGATAGTACAAATGATCCTAAATTTAAATGATGTGATTTTAAACAATGTATTTTATCTTAAATCTAGTCAATTTTTTGGGGATTTTTTAATTCGGGTGAGATAATTGCAGAAATCCAGACCGTAGCTGGAAAATATGTTAAGACTAAAAGCAGCTACTAAATGTCTGAGAGTGAAGTCGTACTGCTGACAGTAAGGTGTTTCCCTCGGACAACCAGCATCTGCAGCGATGCTGCCTTCTCACAAGGAAGGAAGGGGTTAGAAAAGGTCGACCCTAAAAATGTCACACCTCACCTTACCTCACGGATTTCCGTCTCCGGCGGTAAGGCCTTTTAAACAAGAACGGAGCTAACACTTCAAAAACTTCTCATAAAAAGGCTGCGCGCAACTGACATCAAGAAATTGTTTTTTGGGCTCTGAGGTTACACTCCCAGGTCTCTAAAACCAACAATAATCTACCTTCCTTTTCAGGTCCATCAAGAAACACCCTTCCATGGTGTGAGCAGCCAGAACGTGATATCTGCCCTCATACCCGTAGCAGCACGCGAGATCAAATTGATCAAAATCAAATCCTTCCTACACCTCATAGCATCTGTCGTATTTTCACGACTAACTACAGATCTTGAACGACTTGGCTCAAAATCGTTTGCAGTGGAGCAAATTCTAACCTTATGAATTCCTTATTAGCTTTATCCTTCTCTTTCTAAATTTATTTCACTCAATTATGCATCTTGAATAATACCTTAGAACCATAATCTCTACGAATACTGCCAATACTTCTACCATCTCTGCTACTATAGGATTTGAATTGATAATTCTGTCTATGTGCTAATGTGGTATGGCAACTTGGACTGATGTACATACGTACAAAGTTCTATGTTATAACTGACTGACTGAATTGCAGAAACTGAAGAGAATTTGCTACGGCTGTACGTAAACACGTCAACTTGATAAACTTGAACTATTACGAGTTGTTTACCTTAGTCGGAAAACGAGAGCGAGGATCCAGTGACATGACATGCTACTCAAATCCGATTATTCCAACCCCCCATATTGAGTAAAAATATAAGAAGACTTGATATGAAGTAGAACATGTATTCTACAAGCATCCAGAAAGCACGAGGTGCGAATCCAGAAGAGAATCAGGATCCCGGACTAGGATCCGGGACCGAACCCTGCTCGTGGTCATAAACTGTTACAGATAATGCGTATTTATACATTTTGGTTGAATAGGAAACAGCATCGCAGTCTGTGAAATTAACAGTTAAGACGACCAATAGGAAGTAACATTTGAAGTGACATTGATATATCTAGGACAACCATAAAATTGACCAGTAGGAATTAACCAATAGGAATAGAACTATAATTCTCTTAGGATATTGGATGAATATCCTCTAACACAATTCATTGAATAAAATATTCTTCATTCAAATATATATATCTCTGTGTTTTGGTGATGTAACATTTATTTATTCCTTCATAGTTCGCATTCATTCTTCAATTGTATTTCAATAGTTGTTTCAGTAGTAAATCGATTGCTCATCAATTAAAAATTAAATAATTAAATTATTTTCGAATTAATGCAAAATTTATTTCAACCTATGTTTTTATTTATCATCCCTAATATTCAGAATTTATTTGCTTTTTTAAAAAAAAGGCATATCCTAATTACTGTGTGTATTTTTTAATCATTATTCACACTGTTTAAAAAAAGGTGTTATATTAGCTATTCTTGAAAAAGCTGAAGTTCTACCGGCTTTACCAAATACCAATGCTGGTACAGTTGCTGCAGGTATACAAAATTTCCTTATATGTTTGGAAATGTTAATTGCTGCAATTGCTTTACGTTTTGCCTTTCCTTCACAATTATATACTGATGATGGAGTTGCAAATGGACATACAACTACTAGTGGTTATGATAGTCTTGGTGGTGTAGTTGGTAATAGTGATGTTTATCTTGAATCGAAGAAGCGTAAGTGAATTGTTTAGTGATGTATGTGTATAATTTAATACTTCATCTATTGATCTGACATCTTTACGTAGTAGTTGTTTTTTTTCTAAAACTGTTGCATTGTTTACTCGGTTGTTGCAGGATACACCAGAAATGCTTCGAAGACTTTTATATTCGAATACTAATAACCTATGAATATACATAGACAGACAGACAGACAGATACAACGCAGAACTTCGTACGCACGTAAATACATCAGTTCAGGTTGCCATACCACGTCAGCACAGAGACGAGAGTGTCAGTTCAAATCCAAGAGTGATAGTGATAGTAGAAGTATTAGCAGCAATGGAGAAGATTAGGGAGCGAAGATGTGATTCGAGAAGTATAATTCAGTGAGATAAATTCAGAAGGAGAAAGATGGAGATGATGAGTAATTCAGAAGTTAAGAATTAAAAAGCACACAAAGAGAGTGGATGCACCTGCGCCATTGCAAATGATTCTGAGTCATGTCGTCCGAGGTCTCTAACCACTGGTGACTTTCGTCTCACGGACCGCAACCAAGATAGCCTACATCTACCAATATGACTCAGTCCACTTGTCGTTGACTTCATAGTTTTCTGCCATGTTTTGGTATGGCCACCTCTAACTTTCTTCCAATCTACTCCTACACCACAAAACATAGCTCGTCGCGGCAGTCGGTGGTTAGCCATACGTAACACATGTCCCAACCACCTCAACTGATGAAGTTTCACTACTTCATCTATTGATTTGCCATCCTTATCTAGCACTCGTTTCCTAACGATAGCATTGCTTACTCAGTCGTCCCAGGATATACGAGCAATGCTTTGGATATACCTATGATCGAAGACTGGTAACCTACGTATGTCCTCACATGTCTCACAGCCATAAAGCAAGACGGAGCCAACTGTTGCGCAGTAGACTCGTCGTTTGGTTAGCATACCGGTATCTAGCCTGGCTGGCAGGAGCCAGTCGAGCCTTCTGTATCTGCGCTGAGGTTCTCGCACACATCAGGCCATCAGCACTGATGAGGCTCCCTAGATAAGTGAAGTGATCAATGCACTCAACTGCTTCACTCTCTATCATTAGTTCAGGTGTCGATACAAGCCAATCCTGAAGCAACATTTTGCATTTTTGTAGAGTAAAACAGCATCCCGAACATGCTTGCATTGTTAGTTAGGGTAGTTATAGAAGATTCTGCATATCAGACCTACTCTGGATACGACATGTATATAAGCTCAATGTGATTCACAAAAAAGTAATCTGAACCCACATGTGTTATGGATTGTTAAGCCCTGCATTGTTGAAATTACTTGGCTGTCACCGGTAGTTATTATCTATTTCTCGTGGATATTTTACTTTACTCTTATAACAGTCATATTGTTATGATTTTCTTCAGGTGGATTTCTGCCTTCTTCAGATTCTTTACGTAGTCTACGTGATACATTCAATCCGAAAGATATGTTCAATGATGCTATACATAATTTTCATCCAAATTATCAAAAATACACTCAACAAGTAAGTTATGTTTAATTTGTCAGTCAAGAGTGTTAGATTTCTGTATGATATGTTAATAAATAGTGTATTTGATAAGTTCGTCACTAGGTATGAACGCTTATAGGAAGCTATTATGAGTTCACTTTAGTCGTCGATAAACGAGAACGAGACAATGAACCAGCGTCCAGATAGGCTACCTTGAATCACAAGCTGAAGACAAAAGGCTTTGTAAGCGTAGAAAGTATATTCTACAAACAATCACAAGCAATCACATTACAACCAAGCATACAACTCTCGTTTATTTATACATCATAGTAGGCCCTTCTTGACATATATATATATATATATATATATATATATATATATATATATATATATATATACATATATATATATATATATGTATGTGGTGCTGTGGTGCGAGCTACTTATAAGTAGTATATAACGTGAGTGTCAACGTAAAGTCTGGTAGCATAATATGGGGAGAAGATCAAGAAAGGAAGAGTTAGAAAACAATGGAATTTGTATCAAACGCATGAATAGTGACAATGGAGTGATGTTTTGCAACAGGAACAGTCCAGTTCCATAGGATGAACTGATCTTTTGCAAATGAACGATTTACGATATGGTTTTCCTATTTTACTGAGTAACTCTGTAATTTTCGTTAAATACAATTCGGTTGCCCCCACCTGTGTTCTCATTCACTACACTACTACTACTAATACTACTACGTATTACGAGAATAACAAAAATTATTGATTTTGGATAGATGAATAAATAAAAGAGATTAGTAAACATTAGATACATATATACCATAAGACCACCGTTAGAAGAAACCTGGAAGCACTGAAAGACGACCGTTTCGTGTCGGTATGGGACTCATCAGTGGCAGTGCGCACCCAAGACTTCTGCACCTCACAGGATTCGAATCCAGGACCTTCGGCCTTGCGCGTGAACGCTCAACCTCCCGACTACTGAGCCGGCATATATATATATACATTAGCATAAGAGATTTGAATTAAGTTGAGTAGTGAGTGTATAAGAATTGTGTTGATTGTTGTAGTATAGCAAACGTGAACTGATGTATGTACATACGAAGCTCTATGTTGTAGTTGATTGACTGGATTTATAAGAATTGTATAATTTATAATATGAAAATATCCTAGTTGATCATATCGGTTTCACTGGAATAGTAATAATAATAATAACACTGTTTCGATGTCTTCTGTACAAATATATATTAATTTCAGTCAGTCAGCTACAACGTACAGTAGTTCAAGTTACCATATCGTATTATCACACAGAGATTGAATTGCCAATTTAAATCTCATAGTATTAGAGGTAGTTGAAGTATTAACGGTAGTCAAAAAGACTAATGATCGGATATATCCTTCGATATATATATCTTAGAGGAATCAGTTAAAAAAAATACGGTCATGAGGAATTCAAAAGACCAGGATTTGAGGGAACACAAAGAATGGATGCATCTGCGCTGTGGCAAACGATTTTGAGCCATACCATTCAATGACACTAACCATTGGTTACTATCATCTCGCGGACCTCAACCAGGTGGTTTTACTAATTCCTCTATTGATCTGCCATCCTTACCTTATACCCTTTTTGTAACAACAGCATTGCTTACTCGGTGGTCCTAGGATACTCGAGAAATGCTTTGAAGACTTCTGTGATGGAATAATAATAATGGCCTATGAATATCTTCTACTCTTACTGGCCATGAATATATTGATATAAATATATTCGGTTTATTGATATCATTTCGTGGATAATAACATACTGTATACGATTATAACACTTGTTAAAAGTCAAATTATACCATGCTATACTGGGCAATAATATTTTCTGTGAAAGTTTACTTGATCTCTACATATCTACCTACATAACTTGATGATTATTGTACTATTAAGAAAAATAAAATTGCAATATACAAGATTTATTCCTCTGATTTTGTATAAGTTTCAATTCAGTAACTGTAATTGAGTTTGCTTAATAGGTTTGTGCAGGTTTTTGAGTTGCTTTATCGAAAAAAACCTTGAAGCACTGAAAGACGACCGTTTCGTCGTATGGGACTCATCAGCCGGCTCAGTGGTCCAGAAATTGGGTGTTCGGGCGCAAAACCGAAGGTCCTGCGTTCAAATCCTGCCAGTGGCAGCAGTAGTGGATGCGAACTGCTAATGTAGCTGAATTGTCAGTAATCTCATCTGACATGGTCGATAACTGTCTTTCTTTCAAAAAATATAGTTTTTACCGCTATAAACATATTTATAATAAATGTTTTGAAGTCAAATAAAAATCATCTTGGTGGTCAGTGAGTCAATGATCGAATTAGAGTGGTGAATACAAGATGCGCGAC